CCACTGGGGCTGTACTCCCTACTGGTGCTGCCTGACTGGCACTCTGCCCGTCTGTCATGTCTGGGTCTGGCTGATCCATACAGAAAATCCAGAAAAATCTGGAAAACTATCACAAAAACAACACAATAAAAAGCCAAACAAACCAAAACTACTCTAGACAAACTCACTTACAGATCACTTCCTATAGCTCTGTCTTACACAATCCAAATTTCAAAACTATTGCTCTGATACCACCAAAGCTTGTCACGACCCGACCCGAGACGGATCCCGCCCGCACCGGGCCGCGACCAGCCAAACAAACCGACATACCAGGATCTGGCTTTGGAATTTGCTTCGGAATTGATTCTTCCAAATATTTCAACTCAAAAACAGACACACAGAGCTACTATGAAACATCAAATGCAGCGGAACAAATCATCTATATTTTTCTTTTCCTCAAAACAATCATCTACAAATACAGTACATGGCTGACAGAAAGAACAAAGAAGAAAAGCCATGACTGTACAAAAATCAAAAAGTACAAAAATACCTATAACTGATCAGACTCTGAACTCTAGTCCAAGATCTCATTCCCTTTCCTAGAACCTGAAAACCACCAGAAAACAAGGGTGAGCTTAACAGCTCAACAAAGTGACAAACCTCCAATCAAAACTTCCAGAATCCCAAAACCAAACACATCAGACCAAATCCAATCAAAATATTCATACAGATCAGAACAAACAGATCAAATCAGAACTTATACGAACATATATCAAATCAGAATCAGATTTGCTTACAGAACAGATACGGAAATCAGAAGTCCTTTCAAATCAGATATTATTTAATTAATAACTAAATTCCCTGACAATGATAGAATCTCTACGGATTCCGACCCCTTATGCCTCCCTTTGTGCTCACGGCACCAGACCAGATGTGCTTATAGCACCAGAATAGATTTCATCGGATCCGGAATAGAATTGATTTCAAATTTCAGATTGAGCTCATTTCAGATTTCTTAGACACTAACCGAATCTCTTAGGATCCGGGCCACTTATAACTCCCTTTTTATAACCTATACAGATAGCATATCAATTCAGAAGAAATCCAGACAAAATCAGAAATCACACGAAAATCGGGCAGCACAACGGATGTATACGGAATTTACACAATTTTCCTGAAAAATCACAGAATACCAAATTTGCACAGAATATAGATAACAACATTGCAAGACTTTAATTCTATTGCTCAGACAATTTTAGACTACACAGAAAAATACAGTCGACGGAAAACGCCGTCAAATCAAAATTACCCGGACAAAAATCTCCAGAAAATAATCAAAATGTGCACACTCGGCACGTCAACAACATACAGAAAATTACACGGTAAAAACTGAACCAGATGGGAAATACGGACGAAAATCACTAACAAAAATTAATTCCGGACAGTTAATACCGCCAAACACGACGGTTCTGAAAATTGAGAAAGGCGGATTGTGCCTTACCTTGCGTACAGCAATATCTTCAATAGTCTCGTCGAACGAAAACGGCCCGGCGTCGCCCAAAAATCAACTTTTCCACTTTTTCCTTTGTTTTTCTCTCTCATGGGCTTTTTCTCTCTCTTTAAAATATCTCATTTCTATATATATCCAGACTGATCATCCCGGACGATCGCAACTTCGTCCCGGGATGAAGTGGCTCTAGACAAATTTCGTCCAGACGAATTTCATGAACGTCCCCGGCGACTGGTCCTCTGGAAAATTTTCGTCCAGACGATCCAAATTTCGTCCAGACGATCCATGCAGCCAGAACTGTTTTCTGGCCTGTACCGATCGTCCCGGACGATCCAACTTCGTCCGGACGAACCTGGAGCAAAACTGATGTTACACCAAGAGAGAGAAATTCAAAGGAAAAAGAAGAAAAAATGATTTTTGGGCGACTTCTATCCGTTTCCGTCCGTAGTTCCAGTTGAGAAAGTTGACCGACTCGAGGTAAGACACATTCCGCCTTTCTAAATTTTCAGAAACGAGGATTTTGATGACTTTTTTGTTTCAGATTTTGTTTCCGTTAGCGAATAATTGATTCGGTTTTGTACTGATAAAGGTTTTACCACGTAACTTTTGTTATGTTTCTAAAATGATAATTGTGCACGTTTTGAGTATCTTCTAAAATATTTTTATCGGGTATTTTGAATTCTACGGAGTTTTGAACGAATAACAATTTATTTGGATGTCTGAATTTACTGTCTCAGTACAATGAAAGTCTTAGAATGATGTTGTGTACTATATGTGTTAATTTGGTAAATTTCAGAATCTGTGAATTTTGTGAAAATTCTGTATACTGCCGTTATGCTGCTGACGATTTTCTAACGTAATCCAATTTTCTGATTTGAATGAATTGTTGTGCTGTGATATCAAAAGGGAGTTATAAGGGGCTGGAATCCTTTGGAATTTCGTTGTATGGGTCCGAGAAATCTGAAAATATGAAAATAAGTTCTATTCTAAATATTTCATATATCTGTTATGTTCTGGTGCTACAAACACAAAGGGAGACATAGGGGACAGAATATGTCGAGATTCTGTCAGTGTCAGGGGAGGGAGACATAAGGGGCCAGAATCCGTTGAGATTCTGTTAGTGTCAAGGGAGGGAGGCATAAGGGGCCAGAATCTGTAGAGATTCTGTAAGGGTCCGAGAATCTGAAATCTGATATGTGATCTGATATTGAAATGTGATTTTATCTGATTTAAAATCTGTTCTGTATGATTCTATTATTCTGTACGATTCTGTTTGTTCTGTACAATTCTATTCGCTCTGTACGATTTCTGTTAATGAAGTGAATTCCATTTTTCAACATCAGTGATTTGACTTCTATTTGAGTAAGTGTCTGTATTCTGAGAACTATATGATTTCTATACGATTTCTGTACGGCTATTGGAATAACTGCTTCTGATGTGTTTTGAGGATGACAATTTTTGGAGATTTGGATTGGTGAGTGTAGTCTTGCTGAGCTGTTAGCTTATTTTTATTTTCTATATGGCTTTTAAGTTCTTGGAAAGGGAAGGAAGTCTTGTACTAGAAATTTTGTATCTGATCAGTGATTAGGTATTTTGTACTTTTGCTTTTTATACAGTCCTGACTTTTCTGTTCTGTTCTTTCTATTTGTAAGCCATGAACATGTATTGTACATGATTATTTTGATGAAAGAAATATAGATGAACTGTTTTGTATATTTGGAAGTCTATAGCAGCTCTGTGTTTTGTTTTGTTTTTTTTACATTTGGAAGAAAGTTCTGAAGCAAGTCCCAAAATTAGATCATGGATTTCAAGTTTCAAGTTCCGTCGCAGCCCTATGTGAGCGGGATTCGTTCCGATCGGGTTGGGTCTTGACAAACTTTAGTGGTATCAGAGCACTAGTTTTGAAACTTGGATTGTAAGACAGAGCTATAGGAATTGATCTATAAGTCTATCGGGGTAGTTCTGATTTGTCTGGATTTTTATTGTGTTATTTTATGTGCATAGTTTTCTGTGTGATTATGGATCTTCCAGATCTAGATATGACTGACGGATAGAGTGCTAGTCAGGAAGCTCCTATGAACAGTTCTGCCCCAGTGGTTGGTTCTGATACGGTTTCTCAGTTTGCTACACTGGTTGCTCAGATGATGAGTGAGACTCAGAATAGAGCCTCTACTGTTCGATCTGAGGATGTGGATAGACATCTACAGATGTTTCTGAGATTGAAACCTCAGAGATTTGAGGGCACGGTTGAGCCCAGAGCAGCTGAGGAGTGGTTAAGGAGGTTGGAAAAGACCTTTGACGGTATGCAGTGTCCTCCAGATAGGAAGGTACCGTTAGCTATTTTTCTGTTGGATGGTGAAGCTGAGTGCTGGTGGATGGGCCAGCAGGAGGAGAAATTTCAAGGCAAGCTGAACTCTTTGATTACTTGGGAAGAATTTTCTGAGGTATTTCGATCGTAGTTTGTACCTCCTTCTGCAAGACAACAAATACAGGAGACTTTTCTAAGGTTGGTTCAAGGGAGCAGGACAGTGATGCAGTACGAGGCAGAGTTTACTGCTTTGGCCCGATATGCTCCGCAGCTGGTGAGTACTTCTGTTGAGAAGTGCTATAAATTTCCGAGGGGACTACGAGATAGTTTGAGGCAGCCCCTGGTACCATTTCATATTTCTGATTTCTTTAAGCTTGTTGAGATAGCTCGATTGATAGAGAACGATCCGATGGCTACTCAACAGTGGTGGACTGCTAGTAGGAAGAGATTTAGTGGTGATGCTTTTGGTAGTGGGTTTTCTGGATTTGGTAAGAAGAGATTTGCTTTTGAAGATTCCAGGAGGCGTGGACAGTCTGTGTTCACTATAGTTTCTGGTAGTGGCAACGTGACCAGTTCTGGGTCAGTCATTGGTGCACCTGTGTACCAAACTTGTGGACGACGACATTTTGGCTAGTGCTACAGGACGTATGGTCAGTGTTTCAGATGTGGTCAGCCAGGACATCGGATTGCAGTGTCGACAAGCTGGATTTGATCGATGATCTGAGTCCAGATTTGATTGTTTTGTTAGATCAACAGGAAGGCCTAGGATAGTTCCTCCACGTACTATTTCTGAGGGATCATCTGGTAGACCTGGTGGATCAGGTTCTATGGAGAGGAGACCACCTGGCGGTACTCAGAGGGAGTCTAGTGGTTCTGTGGCCTCAGCTCCAGTTCAACCACGTGTATATAGTTTGAATCAGCAAGAAGCTCGTGATGCTCCGGATGTGGTGACAGGTATGGTTTATATTTCTGAACATCCCTGTCGTGTTTTGTTTGATTCTGGAGCCAGTCACTCGTTTTTATCCGAGCGTTGTTTTGATGATTTGCATCTGGATTCTATTTTGCTACCGATTTCTCTTTCTGTTCTTTAGCTATCTGGAAATAATTTGATTGCCTGGAAGTTTTGGTTTTGTGAGATTGATATTTCTGATAAGAAGTGGAAATCGAGTTTGATTTTGTTGCTGATTTCTGCGTATGATGTGATTTTGGGCATGGATTGGCTGAGTCTGTATAAGGCTCAGATTGACTGTTTGAAGAATCAAGTGAGCTTGCTTATGGAGGGTGAGAGATGTATATTCCAAGGATTAAGAGGCATTCTCTCCTGTTTGATTTCTATTTTGGAAGTTAAAAGAATATGGAAGAAGGGTTGTATGGTATTTTTGGCCTCAGTACGGGATATGAACATGGATGCGAGTTCTGTTTTTGATATCCCAGTGGTACGAGAGTTTTCAGATGTATTTCTTGAGGAGTTGGTTGGTTTACCTCCGGATAGAGATGTTGAGTTCTGTATTGATGTGTTTTCGGGGACAGCTCCAATATCGAAAGCTCCTTACAGGATGGCACCGAAGGAACTTTCAGAGTTGAAAGTTCAGCTTAAGGAGTTGGTTGATATAGGATTTGTTCGTCCTAGTATTTCCCTTGGGGAGCACCTGTTCTGTTTGTAAAGAAGAAGGACGGGATAATGCGCATGTGTGTTGATTACAGAGATCTGAATAAAGTCACAATAAAAAATAAGTATTCGTTGCCACTGATTGACGATTTATTTTATCAGCTAGCTGGATCTTCTGTATTTTTAAAGATTGATTTGAGATCTGGATACTATCAAGTGAAGGTAAGGGAAGCTGATGTGATGAAGACAGCTTTCAGTACTCGATACGGGCACTACGAGTTTTTGGTTATGCCTTTTGGGGTAACCAACGCACATGCTGTTTTTATGAATTTGATGAACAGAGTATTCAAAGAGTATTTGGATCAGTTCGTGATCGTCTTTATAGACGATATTCTAGTATATTATACTTCTAAAGAAGACAATGCGATACATTTGAGGATTGTGTTGAAGACTTTGAGGCAGCATCAGTTGTATGCTAAGTTCTCCAAGTGTAAATTCTGGTTGAAGAACATTTCTTTTCTGGGGCATATAGTGAGCGGCGAAGGTATTTCTATGGATCCCTAGAAATTTTAAGCTGTTGCTACTTGGCCAAGGCCTACTACGGTATTTGAGGTACGTAGTTTCTTAGACATGGCTGGTTATTATAGAAAGTTTGTGAATGGATTTTCTCAGATTTTTACACCTCTAACAAGACTGACTCAGAAGTCAGTAGCTTTTGTTTGGACACCGGAGTGTGAAGCTAGTTTTCAGCAATTAAAAGATTGTTTGACATCTGCTCCGGTATTAGCACTTCCGTCATGTACTAAAGGATTTCAGGTATTCAGTGATGCTTCACTGAAAGGTTTGGGTTGTGTCTTGATGCAGCAAGGTCAGGTAATTGCTTATGCTTCACGACAGTTGAAACCATATAAAAAGAATTACCCGACGCATGATTTGGAATTGGCTGCAGTTGTATTTGCTTTGAAGATTTGACGTCATTACTTGTATGACATCAGGTGTGAGATCTTTACAGATCATAAGAGTTTGAAGTATATTTTCACTCAGAAGGATCTGAATTTGAGGCAAAGAAGATGATTTGAGTTGATCAAGGATTATGATCTGACGATTCAAAATCAGCCTGATAAGGCTAATGTGGTAGCAGACGTTATGAGCAGGAAGTCTTCTGAATTATCAGGTATTCACCTTACTTCCGATGAGTATCTGATACGAGATATGGAAATATTACACTTGGAGGTGATTTCCTCTACTAGTCCGGATTTTGGTGTGTTGACTCAGATGGACATTCAGTCATCTTTGGAAGAAAGGATTCATGAAGCCCAGAAGTCAGACGCTGACTATTTGAAGCTGATTGGTCAGATTGAAACTGGTAAGAAACCTGAACTTTGAATTTTTAATTATGGTATCATTTTCTGTAAAAGCAGGCTATAGATTCCTGTGTTTGGAGATCTGAGGAAGGAGATTCTACACGAATCTCATTATTCAGAATATACCATTCATCCAGGAAGTGATAAGATGTACGGAGATATGAAGAGTTTGTTTTGGTGGCCTGGAATGAAAAAGGATGTATCAGATTTTGTTTCGAAATACGAAGCCTGTCAGTTAGTGAAGGCAGAGCATCAGCGACCAGGAGATCTTTTGCAGTCGTTGCCTATCCCTGAGTGGAAGTGCGAGGAGGTAACGATGGATTTTGCTATGGGTTTTTCTCGATCAAGGCAAGGACATGATGCCATTTGAGTGATTGTAGATCGATTGACGAAGTCTGCACATTTTCTTCCGATCAGACAGACAGATTCGGTGGACAAGCTAGCTCAGATATACGTTAAAGAAATTGTCAGATTACATGGTATGCCTAAAGTGATTGTATCTGATTGACATGGACAATTCACTTCCGGACGAAGTTGAGGGGTATTCAGCAAGGCTTGGGTATGAAGTTGCATTTCAGTACGATTTTTCATCCGCAGACTGATGGACAGTCTGAGAGGACTATTTAGGTACTGGAAGATCTTCTGAGGCTATGTGTTCTGGATTTTGGAGGTAGTTGGGAGGATCACATTCCTTTGATAGAATTTGCTTATAATAACAGTTTTTAGTCCAATATTGGTATGACACCTTATGAAGCTCTGTACGACCGAAAGTGTAGAACCCCTTTGACTCTGACTGAAGTGGGGACAAGAAATAGGTGCAACTTTTGTGGATGAAACTGTTCTGAAAATCAATCTGATTAAATAAAGATTGAAAGCTGCACAAGATAGACAATAGAAGTATTATAATTTGAAGCATAAGCCGGTGGAATTTCAGGTTGGTGACTTTGTGTATGTCAAAGTCAGCCCGATAAAAGGTGTTAGCAGATTTGGAAGAGTAAGCAAGCTTAGTCAAAGGTATGTCGGACCTTTTGAAATCCACGAAAGGATTGGAAAGTCTACTTATAGGCTGTTATTATCTGATCAAATGTTTGATGTACATAATGTGCTTCACGTATCCTATTTGAGAAAGTGGATCTCTGACTCTGAAAAGAAACTCTCTGTTGATGATGTGGAGATTCAAGAGAATCTGCAGTATAAGGAAGAGCCTGAGCTGATTTTAGCTTATGATGTGCGTAAGTTAAGAAATAAACAGATTCCAATGGTTAAAATTCAGTGGAAGCTTAGAACAGCACGAGAGGCGACTTGGGAGAAGGAGTCAGATATGAGACAGTTATATCCGCATCTGTTTTAACTCAGTTTTGTTTTGAAAATGTCGAGGACGATATTTTTCTAAAGTTGGGGAGATTGTGAAAGCTGTTTTTCCTTCCAGGATCATCCGAACGAAGTTGGATCGTCCGGGACGATCGTTACAGGTTGTAAAGGAATTTCTGGACAGAAAAGTTCATCCCAGGATGAACTGGGGTTCGTCTGGACGAAATTTTTCCCGAGAGCAACTCGTCCATGTACGATTACTGTACACGTTTGAACGAATTTTGTCTAGAGGGCAAATCGTCCCGAGACAATTTGCGATCGTCCGGGATGATCTGGTTGGATATATATGGAAATGAGATATTTTGAAGAGAGAAAAGCCTAGGAGAGAGAAATTCGCAGGAAAAAGAAGAAAAAGTGATTTTTGGGCGACTTCTGTCCGTTTCTGTTCGTACTTGCAGTTGAGAAAGTTGACCGACTCGAGGTAAGACACATTCCGCCTTTCTCAATTTTCAGAAACGAGAATTTTGATGACTTTTTTGTTTCAGATTTTATTTCTGTTAGCGAATAATTGATTCCATTTTGTACTGATAAAAGTTTTACCGCATAACTTTTGGTATGTTTCTGAGATGATAATTGTGCACATTTTGAGTATTTTCTGGAATATTTTTATCGGGTATTTTGAATTCTGCAGAGTTTTGATCGAATAATAATTTATCTGGATGTCTGAATTTACTGTCTTAGTACAATGAAAGTCTTAGAATGATGTTGTATACTATCTGTGATAATTTGGTAAATTTCAAAATCTGTGAATTTTGTGGAAATTCCGTATACTGCCGTTATGCTACTAACGATTTTCTGACGTAATCCGATTTTTTGATTTGAATGAATTGTTGTGCTGTGATATCAAAAGGGAGTTATAAGGGACCGGAATCCTTTGGGATTCCATTGTCTGGGTCCGGGAAATCTGAAAATCTAAAAATATGAGAATAAGTTATGTTCTGAAAATTTTGTATATCTGTTATGTTCTGGTGCTACAAGCACAAAGGGAGAAATAAGGGGCCAGAATCCGTTGAGATTCTGTCAATGTCAGGGGAGGGAGACATAAGATGCCAGAATCCGTCAAAATTTTGTCAGTATCAGGGGAGGGAGGCATAAGGGGCCAAAATGTGATCTGATGTTGAAATGTGATTTATCTGATTTGAAATCTGTTCTGTACTATTCTATTGTTCTATACGATTCTGTTTGTTCTGTACAATTCTGTTCGCTTTGTACGATTTCTGTTTATGAAGTGAATTCCAATTTTCTATATCAGTGATGACTTCTATTTGAGCAAGTGTCTGTATTATGAGGACTATACGATTTCTATATGATTTCTGTACGGCTATTGGAATAACTTCTTCTGATGTGTTTTGAGGATGTGAATTTCTGGAGATTTGGATTGGTGAGTGTAGTCTTGCTGAGCTGTTAGCTCATTCTTGTTTTCCGCATGGCTTTCAAGTTTTGGAAAATGGAAGGAAGTCTTGGACTAGAAGTTCTGTGTCTGATTAGTGACTAGGTATTTTTTACTTTTGATTTTTGTATAGTCATGAATTTTATGTTCTGTTCTTTCTGTCTGTAAGCCATGAACTGTATTGTACATGATTATTTTGATGAAAGAAATATAGATGAACTGTTATGTATATTTGGAAGTCTATAGCAGCTCTGTGTTTCTGTTTGTTTTTTTTTACATTTGGAAGAAAGTTCTGAAGCAAGTCCCAAAACTTGATCATGGATTTCAAATTTCAAGTTCCGTCACGACCCGATGCGA